ACTTTTCTATCGGATATAAACAAAAAAGTGGACAAGAATAAGGTTATTTTCAACTTTTCTGATCGGATATTATCAGATGAACAAAAAGAAGTCCTTTCTTTAGGTTTCGATTATTGTATACCACCCAGTACCATTCCCCATAACCAGTTCTTTCTTTGTTTTGAAAACTATGTCACACCATCAAAAACTGTGAGATTTACAAAGATAGATGGAATCATATCACCAACAGCATTTCTACTGTAGCACACGATACTTACAAGAAATTCAAATGTCATGTCAAGAGTATTCATACTCCATATCCCTCCCTTACACCCCTAATAACTCTAAGAGATGATAACAATATTGTTATCACAAAGCCAGATAAGGGACGTGGAGTTGTTATCCTAAACAGAGATGACTATTTTAGTAAACTGAACACGATACTTAGTGATTCCTCCAAATTTAAACCAATCATGTCTGACACTGCCACTCATCTACTGAAATTAGAAGATAAACTAAACAGACTCTTACGCTCGATAAGAACATCTATCGGAGAAATGACTTATAACCTCCTGACTATATCTGGCTCAAAACCTGGTCGCTTATATGGCCTTCCTAAAATTCATAAAATTGGTCAGCCTCTACGCCCCATCATCTCTGCCATTGGTACTTTCAATTACAATATTGCAAAATTCTTAGTTCAAATAATAACCCCTCTAACCACCAATGAATATACCATAGAAAACTCCTTCTCTTTCATCAATGAAATTAGTGACCTTAAACCACTACGGCCTGTCACAATGGCCAGTTTTGACATAGAGTCGTTATTCACTAATGTTTCCCTCAATGAAACCACTGACATAATTTTAAACAAAACAACCTTCTCACTCTTAAACTCGTATGGCCTGAACAAGACGACATACAGGAAATTATTGGACATAACCGCACACAACTCAGTGTTTACCTTCAATGGCTCTATTTACACACAGGTAGACGGTGTAGCAATGGGATCACCACTTGGCCCTTCTTATGCCAATACTTTCCTTTGCCATCATGAACAAACGTGGATGGATGACTGCCCTGCTAATTTCAAACCTATTTTATATCGCCGTTATATGGATGATACTTTTTTACTCTTTGACGACCCCTCTCACATTAATCCTTTCCTCTCATACTTGAACTCACAACACCCCAATATAAAATTCACTTGTGAGACTGAACAAAATAACAAACTATCATTTCTTGACACTTCCATAACTTTTCATAGCAATTGTTTCTACACCAGTACCTACAGAAAACCCACATTTACTGGCCTTGGGCTTCATTACCTCAGCTACATTCCTCACATTTACAAGTGA